GTCCCAGGAATATGCATGTACATCACATGAATGTTCCAGGTATATTCTGGGAATATCATTTTGCTATGTTTGCGGTGCTTTTCTGTTTCAGGTGAAAGCCTTAGTTGGCCATAGAATCGTGCAGGTAGCTTGTGGAAGTAGAGATGCCCAAACACTGGCGCTGTCCGACCAGGGACAAGTTTTTAGCTGGGGTGATGGAGATTTTGGGAAATTAGGTGCGTAGTCGCAATCATGAAGTACACAAATTGAGCAAAATAAATCCCTTTTAGGACGAGGCGGATCTGAAGGCTGCAACGTGCCACACAACATTGAAAGACTGAATAACTTAGGAATAGTCCAAATAGGTAAAATCCCCGAATTTGCTGCGTAAAACCGATCTAAAGCCCACATTGATTGCAGAGTGTGGAGCACAATTCTCTCTCGCCTTGGCCAAATCTGGTCAGATTTGGACGTGGGGGAAAGGCGATTATTTCCGACTGGGCCATGGCACCGACCAGCACATCAGAAAGCCCACTTTGGTTGATTGTTTGAAGGATAAGGTGATCGTCCATGTGGCTGTAGGCGCGCTTCATTGTCTGGCTGTCACCGACAGTGGCCAGGTAAAAGGGAGCACTTGAGTCTAGGAGGATGGCAACATGTAGCGTTTCAGGTCTATGCTTGGGGCGACAACGATCATGGGCAACAGGGCAATGGATCGACGTCCGTAAATAAAAAGCCCGCTCTTGTACAGGGACTGGAAGATGTCCAGATTAATAGAGTCGCTTGTGGCAGTTCTCATTCTATTGCCTGGATTTTGCACGATAACCAAACCATCACTAAGGTGAGCAAAGAAAGGACAGTTGAGTAGTTTCCGCCTTCGAACTAAAAACCTGTCAATTTTTCTGCAGGCTGAGCCGGTCATTTTTGCAGCCCCCAAAGACCCACTGGGGTCGGCCATGCTAGGACTATACGACGGCGAAAAGGTTGCTATAAGCTACAGTATGTGAAAACATACTCTTGAGATCAAAATTGTTTATCAGGTGCCACTGAAAAGCTCGAGCAAAAACGCACCCACACTCAGCAGTATTGTGATGTCGCTGGAAAGTAACACGGCCAAACAGCAGGCTTTGCAGCACGTCCTCAATGCCATGCACATCCAGCAGCTTCGGCAGGCTCTTGTTAAAGCGCTCAGCAGCCATACGAATGTGACCAATCAACCTATGAAGTCGGGCGAGACTTTGGAAATGGAAAAAGAGAGGTAAGCAAGTACTTGTATGTAGTGCCCCCAATCACTAGGTGCTGAGTGTCTTCTGATCCGCAGAAATACACAAAACCCCGGAGTGGAACCGGCGGCCTTATCAGGAGGTGGCGAAGCCCCCGTATCTATTTCGGAAATCACCGACTTGCCAGCGTCGCACATCAGTCCAGAGCAAGAGGACAGTCCGGTGATGTTGCTCCAACAATCTATGACTGCCAGCAGCTGTTCGGCCAGTCTTTCGTCGAAGCACAGCAAAATGTCTACAAGCGCGATGAGTGTGATTGCGGCCACTCTGACTAGCCATGCAGAAGTACGCAGCCCTTGCCTACCTTTGCTGTAGGTTGCTCACAATCAAGGTGTTTCAGGTCGTAGGGGACAGTGGCTTGAGTGGCTTGGACGACTTAACATCGCTGCTGTCGGAAAATGATTCCAGACTAATTGTCGATCTGTTGAAATTGGCCGTTGCCGAACGTATCGAAAGCCAACAGGCTAAAGAGGTAAAATGTATTTGGATTTTTGGCGCAATCAAGACCAGAATAATTTCAGATTCTCTCAACGACGCTCATAACCATGGGTTCAGTGAACGCACCAATTGGTTCAATGCTGTTGGAGTTGTGCGTTACCGAGCTGGAGGACATAGCCAATAGCAAGCAGCCCTATCCGAGCACACCCAATCCCGTGGTGCAAGAATCGAACCATCCATACTTTGATGACATCAAGCTCAGTGGGCACGTGCGATTGCCAGGCGCTGAAGCTCTGAGGTTGGAGTTCGATAGAAGATGTTCAACAGAGCGTCGGCATGACCCCCTTACCATCACCGATGGAACGGGCCGAGTGATTGCCATGCGAAGTGGCAGAGAGTGGTCGGATTGGTCGGCAGAGTTGCGAGTGCCCGGCGACGAACTGCACTGGACGTTCAGCAGCGACAGTTCAGTGAATGGCTGGGGATGGAGATTTACCGTTTATCCAGTCGTGTCGAATAACGGGTAACATTCAAAAATCGGCTACAAACTTGATAAAATTGGTAGCGTTTCTAGTCTTTCCAGAATTTTGGAGATCTGCTCCGACCGGGCGATTCTGAGCCAACCCTCCATAGACATGGTGATGCTGTTACTGGACGTTCGCCTCTATGCCTCAGCAGATTACGGGCTCTTGTCGCGATTGGCTGCTTCCCTCATTGCTTGCTCACAGCTCAGCTTTTTGTCAGCCAATCAGCGAATGTGGGCCTTGCAGAAAGTGCACCGGTGGGAATAAGCCTTGTATAGCAAACACAACCGGAGACACTGAGCTTTTTCATCAATTCCAGGCTTCTAATCGACACGAAAAACAGCAGTCCAATCGAGCAGCTTCAGCGTCTAAATCCGCCAGATGGTGCCCTAACAGATTTCCGCGAAGAACTGCCTCGTATCCTCTTGAGGCAGTTTGAGTACGAGGACAGCTCGGTTAGAGCCGGCTTGCATCTGATGCATTCCGATTTCTTCAAAGTGCTAGTGGCGCTGGCTTGCGATCTAGAGATGGACCAGAGCAGCGGCATTGCCGAGGACCATAAATGGTATTCACTCTGCCTATCCATCCTGCCATTCACTACCTGTCTGTGCAACTGATTTCGCAGGATTTGGTTTAAGCGCTACTGTAATGCAGCAAGAGTGGCCAAATCGTTGATTCAGCGCGCCTCCTTGCCTATGGAATTTTGCAGGGAAGTGCGCAAGAAGATTCTGGACGGACAAACCAAGAACCTGAACTGTTTGCCCGGCGACTACTTGGAGCACGAGAACCATCAGGTGTTCAAAAAGCAGCACGACGAGCAACTGCTGATTTGGTTGAACAGGCGTCCGGACGACTGGACATTGAGCTGGGGTGGCTCAGGTGAGTAACGTTTTTCGTTGTCCCGCTGGTTGATTGATGGATATTTAGGAGCGATCTATGGGTGGGGCCACAATCACCGAGGGCAGCTGGGCGGCATAGAGGGCCCGAAAGTGAAAACGCCCACCCCGTGTGAGGCGCTGAGCCAATTGAGACCAATCCAGTTAGTGGGCGGTGAGCAGACTTTGTTTGCTGTTACCACCGATGGAAAAGTCTACGCCACCGGGTATGGAGCAGGGGGCCGGCTGGGCGTGGGCGGCTGTGACAGCGTTCTAGTCCCCACGCTGTTAGAGTCCATACAGCACATTTTCATCAAAAAAATCGCAGTGAACTCCGGGGGAAAGGTTGCAAAGAACTGCTGCCGAAGCACCATTTGAGACTGAAGTTTGCAATCAATTTCCAGCACTGTTTGGCGCTCTCCGTAGACAACGAGGTCTACTCATGGGGCGAAGGAGAAGATGGAAAGCTGGGCCATGGAAACAGGATTTCCTGTGAGAAGCCCAAACTCATCGACGCGTTTCAAGGTAAAGTAGGCCGGATGCCGTTGATTTGTAGTGGTAAATCGCGTTTGCAGCACTGGAAGTGGTTGATGTCGCTTGCGGCGGGGCGCATTCAGCCGCTATCACCGCATCAGGGCATTTGTATACGTGGGGCAAAGGACGGTATGGGCGTTTGGGCCATGGGGACAGCGAGGACCAACTCAAGCCCAAATTGGTGGAGGAATTGGCCAACTACAAGGTGGTTGGAGTGGCTTGTGGATCGGGCGACGCCCAAACGTTGTGCATCACCGACGACGACAACGTGTGGTCTTGGGGCGATGGCGACTACGGAAAATTAGGAAGGGGAGGGTCAGAAGCGCACAGAAACCGCCCGGTGAATATTTCCTCTAAAGTGTGAAACTTCCAGATCGGACGGTTGCAAGGTTCCAACGAAAATCGAGAGCTTAGCCGGCCTGGGGGTGATGAAAGTGGAATGTGGGTCGCAGTTTTCCATTGCCCTCACTCGGTCCGGAAGTGTGTACACTTGGGGAAAAGGGGACTATCATCGACTGGGCCATGGCACTGCCGACCACGTGCGGCGCCCCAAGAAAGTGGCAGCGTTGCAAGGGAAGAAAATTGTCTCCATTGCCACTGGATCTCTGCACTGTGTGGCCTGTTCAGAAGAAGGAGAGGTAGCAACTTGTAGAAACCCCAAATGTGAATGCTAGAGTTTCTATTGCTTTCCCCCAATAATGCAGGTATTTACGTGGGGCGACAACGACGAGGGCCAGTTGGGCGATGGCACCACCAGCGGCATTCACATCCCACGGCTCATCTCGTGTCTGCAACCCAAAGTGAAAAAGATCACGAACGTCGCCTGCGGCTCAGCCCACACTTTGGCATGGTCAACCGACAGTTCCGTGAGCGCCCGATTGCCTGCCGGAGCTCCCATCGAATACGACTTGCTCCAGGATATTCCCACTTGGGTGCTGCATAGAAGGCTGGTGCTCTTGCACCATTTCACCGAACTGATCTGTCCGTGCATCGCCATGTTTCCCATCACGGGCGAAGAGTCGCTGCACGAGCTGAGAAATATCCTGATCTACTACATCAAAGAGTCGACGTTCAGGAAAGTGGTTCAGGCCACCATGGTTCGGGACAAGCATCACGGGCCTGTTGTGGAACTAAACAGGTAGGTTTGGTCCCAAGGGCGGATCCAGGGGGGGTCATGGGGCCCATTCAATTCTCTATCCAACGATGCCAAAAAAGGCCATTTATTTCTGTCTAGAATGATGTACAAATGAGCGTTCTTGCTCATTTTGTCTCCGAGATATGAGCAAAAACGGGCCGGAAAACATGGACTTTTGGCATAATCTTGCACCTAAGTGTCTGATATTCAAATTTCGCTTTCTGGGTCA